GGTGGCGGTGTCGTGCCGGCGTCGTGGGGGGGGTTTACAGGACGCGGCCGGCGGTGTGCTCTGTATGTCCCCCAGGCTGGAGTGCAATGACGCCATCTGGGTCACGTGCCAACCTCTGCTCTTGGGTTTCAAGCAATTCTCTGCCTCACGCGCCTCCCTGAGTAGCTGGGGAATTACAGGTGGTGCATCACCATGCCTGGGCTAATTTTTGTATTTAAAGTACAGACGGTTTCACCATTGTTGGCCAGTGCTGGTCTCGAATCTGACCTTAAGGTGATCTTGCCCGCCTCAAGCTCCCGAGAAGTGCTGGAGATGGTAAGGTGTGAGCCACTGAGCCTGTGGCCGGATTTTTTCTTCTTTCTCTTTTTTGTGAAAAAGCCTGAAAAGAATTTTGACATGTCGCTAATAGTTTTTATGTTTGTAGGGGCAGAATGACGATTTTTTGTTTTTAATATCTTCCTTGGTAAGCGATACGTATTATAACTCTTCAGGAAATATTTAGCAAGTTTGGGAACTCTAATCTTTTATTTTTAAAAAGATGGTGTGAACTTCTTCTACGACTTTAACAAACCTTAAGTGACGTTTCTGCTGGTGATAGTGAATCTGTATGATTTGAGAAACCAAAAAAGAAGGATTATGAGCCTAAGGCAGGTGGATCCACTTGAGGCGCCAGAATTTGAGACCAATCTGTGCCCAACATGGTGAACACCATCTCTACTAAAATATACAAATTAGACGTGGGGTGCACAACTGTAAGTTACCCAGCTCCTACTCTGAGCTGAGATTGCGCCACTGCACTCGCATTCTGGTGGATAGAGCAACGACTCTGTCTCAAAAAAAAAAAAAAATCGGTGTCTACTTCCTATTTCCAGAGTAGAGTTAGAGGAAGTATTCTCGATATTGATACAAAGTTAACCTCCAGCGACATCTGACGGTACCTTGTTCTCGACTTAATTAAACAGATAGTAAAAAAAAAAAAAAAATCGGTGTCTACTTCCTATTTCCCAGAGTAGAGTAGAGGAAGATTCTATATTGATACAATTAACCTCAGTGACATCTGAGGTACCTTGTTCTGACTTAATTACAGCAATAGTTTACCTGTGAATGAAGCCGTTAAAGGCTTTTGTATCAGATGCTATCACTGTAACTTTATTCTGAGAATAATAATAATAATTATTATTATTATTTGAAATGGAGTCTCACTCTGTCGCCCAGGCTGGAGTGCAGTGGCACGATCTCAGCTCACTGCAAGCTCCGCCTCCCAAGGTTCCACAACCATCTCCTGCTTCAGCTTCCCGAGTAGCTGGGACTACAGGCGCCCGCCACCACACCTGGCTAATTTTTTTGTATTTTTAGTGGAGACTAGGTTTCACCGTGTTAGCCAGAATGGTCTCAATCTCCTGACCTCGTGATCCACCCGCCTCAGCCTCCCAAAGTGCTGGGATTACAGGCGTGAGCCACCGCGCCCGGCCAGAATTCTTTTTTAAAATTCCAGTCAAAGCAGTCATTTCATCAGTGGTTACAGTTTTCCTGTAAAATGCCTTGTTTCATTTACAGTTAAGAATATCTCCCTTTTAATACATTGTTCCTTGGTATCTTACAAAATTGTATTTCTTGTATATTTCATAATTACCCAACAAATACAAGATGAAAGAATCATCTATATTTTTATCCAATTGTATAGCAAACCCCACACACTGTATTTTGTCCTGATATCTTCAAGTCTTTAGGGTTTTCTAAGAGCTTTTGACTATACTTACCAATAAAAGAATACATTTAGTTTGTCACCATTTTTATTTCTGTGTATAATTTCATCTATGGTCCATGGCTTTTCTTAGGGAAACAGCAGTTTCGACACTAACTTTCATATAGTTTTGTGAAGTGTCACATTAAATAGCCTGTGATTTTAGACATAGGTGGAAAAATTATAGACATTTAACTCTTGCTGTGAACACTTAAAGGCCTGGTGGATTATGAGGACTTTGTTCGTGCCATCAGATTATATCTTAAGGTAGAGTAGACACGTAGAGTGAGGTTCATCTTTAATAAAAATGGACTGGGCGCGGTGGCTCATGCCTATAATCTCAGCACTTTTGGGAGACCGAGGCAGGTGGTTAACCAGGTCAGGAGATTGAGACCATCCTGGCTAACATGGTGAAACCCCATCTCTACTAAAAATACAAAAAAATTAGCCAGGTGTGGTGGCGGGCGCCTGTAGTCCCACCTACTCTGGCGGCTGAGGCAGGAGAATGGCGTGAACCCAGAAGGCGGAGCTTGCAGTGAGCCGAGATCGCACCACTGCACTCCAGCCTGGGTGACCGAGTGAGATTCCATCTCAAAAAAATTAAAATACATACATACATACGTACATACATACATACATACATACATACATGGTATGGCTGGATGCGGTGGCTCACGCCTGTAATCCTAGCACTTTGGGAGGCTGAGGCTGGCGGATTGCCTGAGCTCAGGAGTTCGAGACCAGCCTGGGCAACGTGATGAAACCCCCATCTCTACTGAAAATACAAAAATTACTTGGGCGTGGTAGAGCACGCCTGTAACCCAGCTACTTGGGATGCTGAGGCACGAGAATCGCTGGAACCTGGGAGGCAGAGGTTGTGGTGAGCTGAGATCCGCCACTGCACTCCAGTCTGGGCAGCAGAGAGAGACTGTGTCAAAAACGAAACAAAACAAAAATAAATAAGAAATGGTGTAAAGTCAATATAAATACAAGTACTAATATTTTATTTTTACACCCCAAAGGATTATCGTATAATACAAACACCCTTCAAGTACACATATCCCACTTTAGAGACTACTGCCCTAAACAACAGGGATAATGATATTGAAACTGGCCTTTTAGTTAAAATAAAACAAAGCCAAAAATAATTCACTGTCCTCTATAAACTTATATTTGGGAGACAAATGTAAGAATAATCAGCTTGGCTGGGCACGGTGGCTCACGCCTGTGATCCCAGCACTTTGGGAATCCAAGGTGGGTGGATTGTGAGGTCAGGAGCTCAAGACCGTCCTGGCTAACACGGTGAAACCCCGACTCTACTGAAAATACAAAAAATTAGCCAGGCATGGTGGCAGGCACCTGTAGTCCCAGCTACTCGGGAGGCTGAGGCAGGAGAATGGTGTGAACCCGGGAGGTGGAACTTGCAGTGAGCCGAGATTGTGCCACTGCACTCCAGCCTGGGTGACAGAGCAAGACTCCATCTCAAAAAAAAAAAAAAAAAAAAAAATCAGCTTTGGCTTGAGGTTTGGAGAATGAACACTTCTATGACTACCTGTCATAGCTCACTAGGAAACCCTAGTGAACCATGGAAGGGTTATTGGTTAAATATATTGTATAAAGGAACGTTTTGCTAGTTGCTGTTGACCAAAAAGGCTGTTTTTTTAAAAAATATATAGTCTAATTATTTTTGTTGAAAGATATTTGAAAGATGGTTTTTCTCAATCTATAGCAGATACAGTTTGTAGCCACCTGGGATCTCTTATAAAAAGATACTTTTTCATAGTATACTTTTTATAATATACATAAAATTTCATAATATACTTTTGATAATATATATAAAATTTGATACATAAGTTTATCAAATTTATTGAATTTACTTTAGTGCATTTTTATTAGTCAAGATTCTTTGGAAGACATGGAAAACTAATTCAAAAAAGCTTGAGCAAAAAAAAGTGTGTTGGCTCGTAACTAATATTCAGGACTGGTCTCCAGAACTTGGTTGCCAGGTCTGTGTTTCCAGGTTGTCTGTTAGCTTGTCTGTGTCTCTGTGATAGTTTTACCGTTTTACAGTGGAAAGTCTTTCTCCGTGGGGTGCTCTGACTTGCAGAAGAATGCCTTTGGTCTAGTGCCAGCATATATAAAATCCTGTGGGTGGGATAGAGTAGACGTAGTTGCATGTGGTGCTGACTGGCAGTCTCACAAAACCACATGGAATGGGGAAGGAACAGTTTCCCAAAGGAAGGGTTTGCTCTTACTTCAGAGGAAGGGATGCTGGGAGTCAAAAACAATAGATGTTTGTTATAGCAATGAGAGTGATAAAGAAGAGAGGACAGAAAGGCATAAAGTATTCTTTAAGGGAATAGAACATGACTTAATTTGATTTTCCTAATCATTGATTCTTACAGAGCATGCAAGCAGCAAGATGTCCTACAGATGAATTGTCTTTAACCAATTGTGCAGTTGTGAATGAAAAGGATTTCCAGTCTGGCCAGTGAGTATCTGACTTTGTTTTCTTTTAACCTGCTAAGTGGCATTTCGGAAACTTCCAGAGAGTCATTTTTAGGAAACGTTGGAAAATATTTTTTTTTTAATTTTTCTTGCTGAGTTGGAAAATGGAGATGATGAAAAATTGTGTATTTGAATCATTACTGTGTCAAACTTTGATAAATACTGTATGTTTTTAAAATCACATACAGTTTTTTATGTATAAAACTTTAGTTTTCATCGGTTGTCTTAGGAGAGCTAAACATACTGGTTGTATGAATCATATATAGCAGAGTTGTTAGGTGTTTGATTTTAGCCAACTCAGATTGTTTGCGTTTTCCTGGCTCTACCAATTACAAACTGGGTGACCATTTCTGTACCTCTATGTCCTGATCTGTATAATGGAGATGATCTCTTCTTCAAGGTAGCTATGAAGAATAAGTTACATAAATAAAGCGCTTAGGACAGTGCCCAACATGTTAACAAGCCCTTAGTAAATATTAGCTGTTATGGTTATTATTACCATGGTAATCCAAGAGACATGAACATTGGAAGATGGGCTGGGTGTGGTGGCTCATGCCTGTAATCCTAGCACTTTGGGAGGCCAAGGTGGGCTGATTGCCTAAGCTCAGGAATTTGGGACCAACCTGGCCAACATGGTGAAACCCCATGTCTACTAAAAATAAAAATTAGCCAGGCATGGTGGTGTGCGCCTGTAGTCCCAGTTTCTCAGCAGGCTGAGGCATGAGAATCACTTGAACCCAGGAGGCAGAGACTGTAGTGAGCTGAGATGGCACCACTGCACTCCAGCCTGGGTGACACAGCGAAACTCTGTATCAAAAAAAAAGGAAAGAGAAAATTGGAAGATGCAAAGCAAATGTAGAATCCTTAAAGGCATTTTGCATTGTAATTTATTTTAACTGATTCATATCACCCCACTGCCAGGACTTCTAAAGACCCTGCTGCAAGTTCAGTGCCATCCATATGCTTCTGAGATTGGTATACATAAGAAGATGAAGGGGCTGTAGGGAAATAAGAGGCAAGGTGGTAGGGTTTTAACTGAGCATTTTTCTTAAAATGTTGTCTGTGAAATACATGAGTTTCACAGAGTTAGAAATGCTAATCATCTTTGGTTTCCAGCTTCAGAGTAAGAGGCTGTACTATATGGTGATATTAACATTGTTTCCAGTGCTAAACATTCTGTGATGCTAAAGTGAGCACAGGACTTTCAACAGATAAACTGAAGTGTAGATAATCAATGTGAGAATTTGTAGAATTCTTTTACATATTTTAAATGTTCACTGTGCTCATGGTGGGGTTACTCAAAATGTAGTTGATATAAGGAACATGTGTTCTAGTGGCAAGAAAATATGTATAGAAACATTAGCCATTGATGTGAAAAATTACAGCATTCTAAGAAGATAATTTTTAAAAAGATAGTGAGCTAGGCATGTTGGGGCATGCCTGTAGTCCCAACTACTTTAGAGACTGAGGCAGGAGAATCCCTTGAGCCCAGGAGTTTGAGGCCCGCCTGGGCAACATAGCAAGACCGCATCTATTAAAAAAAAAAAAAAAAAAAGATACTGCTGATGCATAACAGGATTTGAAGCTTCTGTCTTACACATAGTACTTTCTAGTTACCTGGTATGGGAGATTATCATGAGAGGACTATTTTTTTTTTTTTTAAACAGGTAATTTCTGAACAGGGAATTAGCACAAAATTTTTTAAAACAGTAAATATTGATGTCTACATGAAAGCTGATGTATTTGGGAATTTTTTAAATCTTTTTATTTTGTAGGTTGTTTTAGCCTGTTGACAGAGTCTGCAAATAAATTTAATAAGTAGTCTAAAAACTAACCTTTTTTGATTGCTATATCCTAGCTCTTTTATCTTTGGCTCTCCTTATTTTATTAGGATGTGAAGTAATTCTCAGGAGAGGAAATTCATCTAGTTTTTACTTGATATCAAGGACTCTAAATCACTGGCTTCAGTTTTATGTAAACTGGAAATGTAATGAAGTTGGTATTTTGGCTGGATTCTACTTGATGAGTGTTTGACCCAAGGTGCTCCTTATATCTGGAACACATTTGGGATTGCTGATAGTTTTGGAAACTAAATTTGTGGTTCTGTTTCTTCAAGACACAGATAATGTAGTTTCCACCTGATACTCATTAAATATCAGTTTGAAAAGAAATACATTTTGAAATTATGTTCTTCATTTCCTTCAAAGTGGAGTACTAACTATGTTTCTGTCCTTTAGGCATGTGATTGTGAGGACCTCTCCCAATCACAGGTACACATTTACACTGAAGACGCATCCATCAGTGGTTCCAGGGAGCATTGCATTTAGTTTACCTCAGGTAACTCAGATGTTAATTTATTCTCTTCTGTTTTTGAAAGTCATAGAATATAAATAGTCCGTTCATTTTAACCAAGCATCATCCTATTACTGTATTGATTCATACTGAAGAAAAACATCTAAGTATTATATAAGGAATTTAAAGATACAGTCTTTTCTTTTTTTTTAAGACAGGATCTCGTTCTGTTACCCAGGCTGGAGTGGCATGATCACTGCTCCTCATCTCAAGCAATTCTCATACCTCAGTCTCCCAAGTAGCTGAGACTACAGGCTTGTACCACTGTGCCTGACTAATTTTAAAATTGTTTGTAGAGATGGGTCTTAACTGTGTTCCCCAAGCTAGTCTTTAACTCTTAGGCTCAAGTAATCCTCCCACCTTGGCCTCCCAAAGTGCTGGGATTATAGGGTGTGAATCATCACGCCCAACCTAAAGACAGATTCTTAACTGCCAATTTTTGCTATGGCTGTCTTCTTTTGCCTTGATTTTTTTCCCTAATTTTTAAAGATTTTGCAGTAAAATCAGTCAGCTATCACATAAAGGGTCAAGTTATTTTAATGTTAACTCCCAGGGTAACAGAAAAGATAAAAAACATTTTATTTGTAAAATTGACATCTAAGAATAGTGATTTTATAATGTGATGGCGTTATACTAAAGAATTTGGAAAGAGTCTTAAATTACAACATAAGTTGCTAGGCTCCCATAACAACTGGATGGGTTGTGATTACAGTTACAACTGTTGGTGGATTCTCTGGAATCCAGAGAATTAGATTGCTTAGCGCTGCCCCAGGCACATCATACAGAATATAAAGCACCACAAATACTAGTCTGTATCTTCTTCTCCCTTATCATTTTACTCAGGCTGCTGACTGACCCCAGTCCTAAGTAATGTAAATGCAATCCCTACCTCCTCCTAGTATGCTAATGAGCATTGGTAGACTTCCCTGAAGGTTTAGAGAAAGAGATCAAACACTCATTTAAGAACTATTAGGCTGGTTGCAATGACTCATGCACTTTGGGAGGCCAAAGCTGGTGGATCACTTGAGTCCAGCAGTTCAAGACCATGTGGGCAACATGGCGAAACCCCCTCTCTACTAAAAGTACAAAAATTATCTGGGCGTGGTGGTGCCTGCCTGTAGTCCTAATTTCTTGTGGGGCTGAGGCAGGAGGATCACTTGAGCCTGGGAAATCGAGGCTGCAGTGAGGTGAGTTACTGCCTCTGCACTCTAGCCTAGGTGACAAAGTGAGACCCTGTTTAAAAAAGAAAACAAACAAACAAACAAACAAAATAATTATTAGATGGGCCAGGTGCCTCACACTTATAATCCTAGTGCTTTGGGAGGTGGAGGAGGATCGCTTGAGACCAAGAATTCCAGACCAGTATAGCGAGACCCTTGTCCCCCACACTGTCTCTACAAAAAAAAATTTTTAATTAGCTGGGCATGGTGTCACATGCCTGTAGTCCAGGCTACTTGGGAAGCTGAGGTTAGGAGGATCACTTGAGCCCAGGAAGTCGAGGCTGTAGTGAGCTATGATTGTGCCACCATGCCCCAGCCTGGGCTACAGAGTGAGATTCTGTCTCTTTAAGAAGAGGAAAAAAAGGAACTATTGAAGATCTCTTGAAGCCCTCAAAAATTACAAGAAATTTTCACTTACTATTCCACCTGTCTGTTTGATACCTCTTCATTATCCAGACCACTTTCACATTTATTTCTAGAGATTAAAAATTTGGGATATTCCAGGGTTCATCAGCTTTTACAGTGTTCCATTTGGGATTCTGATTGTTAGAAATAGCTTGAGACGTGACCATTTCTCCTTGTCTCTGTTTTATTTAAATTAAAAAAAAAAAAATTTCCCCCAACATTTAGTATAGGCCAGGTTCTATTCTCAGTACTTTGGCATGTGTTAGCTCTTTTAATTCTCCACACAACCTTATAAAATAGCTACTGTTGTTATCCCTAAGGACTGCTCTATCAGTCCATTTTCATACTGCTATGAAGAAATACCGGAGACTGGGTAATTTATAAAGAAAAACAAGATTTCATGGACTCACTGTTCCACATGGCTGCGGAGGCCTCACAATCATGGTGGAAGGGGAAGGAGGAGCAAAGTCATGTCTTACATGGCGGCAGACAAGAGAGCGTGTGCAGGGGAACTGCCCTTTATAAAACCGTCAGATCTCGTGAGAGTTATTCACTGTCATGCAAACAGCATGGGAAAACCCACGCCCATGATTCAGTTACCTCCCACTGGGTCTCTCCCATGACACATGGGGATTATGGGAACTAAAGATGAAATTTAGGTGGGAACACAGCCAAACCATATCAGCTGTCTTTGGGATTGAAGTACAGAACCTAAATGTGGCTTCCTTTTGACTTAAAGTCTAAGCTTAACAAGCATGGTGCTAAATTTCAGGTTGGCTGGAAGTGGGGTGGGGTTTTACAGAAGAGGTCTTCTAGGGGAGGTGAAGGGCAGAGAGGAGGGAAACAGGATGTGGTAAGAAAGCTGCAAGGGAGAGCACTTGTTGCACGTATTCACAGTGCAGCATCTTCTAAATTACCCACTACAGAGTCTGCAGTGTTCGGATGAGCAGGCGAACTGTTGATTTTCAACCAAAAATTGTTTTTCTCATTGTTCTTTGGAGTGTTATCAGTAATTACTAATTTTGAATCTATACCAAGCAAGCCCCAAATTCCTGCCTAAACACAATCTGGCCTGCCTTCATACTTCTTGCCATTATAAACAGTAGGGATTTGGGAAAGCCTAAAATCTAGCTGTAAATGTCTAAAAATCTGGCTAGTATACAAAGAGTAGCTATGACTATCTAATGATTTCAGTCCCTGATTGGGTTTCAAAATAGATTTTCTGACCAGTTTTAATTGAGTCTTCATGAATCAAATGTCTTCCTTTTTGAGATACTGTAACAAACAGTAAAACTAACTGCAGCAGTACATTTAAAACACTGAAGTGTGATCTGATACAGTGAAGACCTTCTGTAGCATCAAATTGTGCAAAGGAGCATCCTCAGTGGTGCCAGCTTTACTGCAAAAGGCAAGCTTTGCACGTTTTGGAACAGATGTTCAGATATAAACTATAGCACATGCATTACTTTCCTGGGGTAAGTAACAGAGAACCATTGCTGGTGGCTTAAAACAACAGAGATTTATTCTCACCATTCTGGAGGCTGGAAGTCTGAAATCAAGCTGTCAGTAGAGCTATTCGCTCTCTGAAGGCTCTAGGGAAGAATCTGTTCTGTACTTAGCTTCTGGTGTTGCCAGCAATCCTTTGGTATTCCTTGGCCTGTAGCTGCATCATTTCAGTTTCTGCCTCTGCTATCACATGATGGTGTTCTGTCTATGTGTCTTTGTCTCTTTCTTCTTAGAAGGACACCAGTCATATTGGCTTAGGGTTCACCCTAATTCATTATGGCCTCATGTTAACTTGATTACATTTGCAGAGATCGTATTTTTAAATAAAGTCACATCCACAGGTAGGGGCTAAGACTTCAACATACTTTGGAGGGGGAGAGCACAGTTCAACCATAATAGCATACCATGTTTTGATCTTTGAATGTGTTCTGAAAATTCATTAAAATTCCTCTTTCTTTCTTGTCTACTTTTGATTGCTTTGGTTTTAAGTATCTTTTTTTTCTCTTTTACTTTACAGAGAAAATGGGCTGGGCTTTCTATTGGGCAAGAAATAGAAGGTAGGTATATTTTTTAGCCACCTGATAAAGATTTTTTATATTATTTTCTCAGATATTGAGAGCTGTACAATTTTTTATTACTAGTGATCAGACCTTAAACATTCATTGTATCAGAATACTGGTTAGATCTATGAGAATGGAAGTAAATAGTTATGGTACCTCTCTTCCTATATCTTTTATGAAGTGTGTGATAAGGTCATCATAGTTCAAGGCAAGGAAAGCAATTTATGACTTCCAGTTTGGGGGGTGGCGGGGTGGAAAGACTAAGCTGCTAATAGATAATAAGCCAAAGAGCTAATAAGCAGAAACTGGCATTGTCTCTTAGGCAATGTGGCAAAGTTAAGAAATGGAGTATGAGTCGTCTTTAGTCAGATGATTTTATGTCAACTTCATGGATACAGTGGGGGAAGGAAAGAAAACGCAAGTGTAAATTAAACCAGCTTTTCTTCTGCTTGTCTTTAAAACTTAAAAAATTATAGAAAGGTTGCAAAAATAATGCGAAGAATTTATGTATACTACCTTTACCCAGCTTTACTAGTTGTCATATTTTCTTTATCTTTCTGGCTCCCTGTCTTCCTCTCTGGGTCTCTGTCTCTCTCTGTACACACACACACACACACACACACACACACACACTTCTTTTATCCTACTTATTTAGGAACCTGACAACTTATCATTTTTTCTAAGTTAGATGGAATTTAAACATTGGGGCTATTTTATTTTATTTTATTTTTGAGATGGAGACTCGCTCTGTTACCAGGCTGGAGTGCAGTGGCGCAATCTCAGCTCACTGCAACCTCCGCCTCCAGGGTTCCAGCAATTCTCCTGCCTCAGCCTTGCAAGTAGCTGGGACTACAGGCACGCGCCACCACACCTGGCTAATTTTTGTATTTTTAGTAGAGATGGGGTTTCACCATGTTGGCCAGGATGGTCTCAATCTCTTGATCTCGGGATCCGCCTGCCTCAGCCTCCCGGAGTGCTGGGATTACAGGCATGAGCCACTGCACCCGGCTAACATTGGAGTTATTTTTAGTTGGCTTTTTCTCTGTGGAAGTGTGAACACTTGTTAAATTTAATGAGAAAATGGGGTAGTATGTAACGTAGGTTTCTAATTTTAATAAATTTTCTAAATATGAGGCTAAGAGTACTTAAAACTTTGAATCTAGATATTTCCTTTTGTGACAAGATACAGAAATTCAAGGTTATAAATTTTGATGAGTTGAGAAATGTGTTTTGTGGTTTAAGTTGTAAAAGCATTGTTCTGCTAACAGAAATGCTTATCTTGATTGTAAAGTCAGATCTTTAAAGAAGTGGCTCAAACAGACTTAATAAGCAAAATTGTAAAACCCAGTAATTAGGTGGGAGTAAAGTGGAGTAAGCTTGAGGGAAGGTAGAGTTTTGGGGCCCAAGTGATGTGGATGATGTGGCCATAAAGGTAGAAAACTGGTTCGGTTTAAGTAGAGATGTAGACCAAGATGGGATAGGAGGTGTAGTTTGAAGGAGGAGTGCTCAAGCATTCTGGAATGGGAGTTCCGTAAGGTGAAACATTTTAGTCAAGTCAGTGATTTTAGTCTGAGGGAATCTTCTGGAGGAATCATTTAGTCTGTCTTCTTTCCATCTGGCAGTGCCATATTTTAAGTGTTACAGGCTAATGTTTTGACTACTATATATACACCTATCATTGTAAAGTCCAAGTTTATTCAAAGAATTGGATAAACTTATTTTTTGCTTATAAAATCTTTATTAGTCTTTTATATTGAATTATTATTAGCCATAAAATAAGAAAACATTCTCAATCTTCTGCTTTGATCCTGGATGAAATCTTCAGGACTCAAGAGTCCCTGACTCAAGAGTCCCTTTGGGACTGACCATGGTGCTGACTTGGCGCTGCCTGGGATACTGTCCATGGTGCTGCCCATAGCACTTGAAATGGTAACAGCTTGGTCTTCTCTATTTGGGAACATTGGCCTTAAACTAAAATGCATTTGAAAACTACAGTCAGCACATTACTACAGTCAGTAGTAATTATATATTTATATATTTATTTATTTATTTTTGAGATGGAATCTTGCTCTGTCGCTGAGGCTGGGGTGCAGTGGCATTATCTCAGTTCACTGCAACCTCCTCCCCAGTTCAAGCAGTTCTCCTGCCTCAGCCTCCCAAGTAGCTGGGATTAGAGGCATGTGCCACCACGCCTGGCTAATTCTTGTATTTTTAGTAGAGAAGGGGTTTTGCCATGTTGGCCAGGCTGGTCTCAAACTCCTGACCTCAAATGATCCACCCACTGGATTATAGGTGTGAGCCACCGCGCCTGGCCGATATTTTAAATACACTGATTCAAATTTCTCAGTATGAAGATGACATGAATATATGTATACACACACATATGTATGCATTATGACATTATGATATTGTTTTGGTATCTTTAATGCACAAAATGGTATTATACTATACAAACCTTTCTGCTGTAGACTTGTCACTCAATATTACGTTTCCAAGGGCCATCCATCTTTTTTTGAGATGGAGTTTTGCTCTTGTTGCCCAGGCTAAAGTGCAATGGTATGATCTCGACTCACTACAGCCTCTCCTCCCAGGTTCAAGCGATTCTCCTGCCTCAGTCACCTGAGTAGCTAGGACTTACAGGCATGCACCACCACTCTGGCGAATACTTTCTATTTTTAGTAGAGATGGAGTTTCACCATGTTGACCAGGCTGGTCTCGAACTCCTGACCTCTGGTGATCCACCCACCTCAGCCTCCCAAAGTGCTGGGATTACAGGTGTGAGCCACCACGCCTGGCCAGGCCATCCATCTTTATTAAGTATACATAAAGTTGGTTTTTTTTTTTTTTTTTTTTGACAGGGTCTCACTTGGCTGGAGTGCAGTGATGCAGTCATGGCTCACTGCAGCCTCAGTACCTGGCTAATTTTTTTATTTTGTGCAGAGACAGGGTCTCACTGTGTTGCCCAGTCTGGTCTCTAAATTCTGGACTTCAGTGATCCTCCCGCCATAGCCTCCCAAAGTTTTGGGATTACAGATGTGAGCCACTGTGCCTGGCCAAGTTTTAATTTTAATAAAAATTGCTGTATAGTATTCTACATTATGAATATACAAACATTTTTCAATGTTTAAGTACTATAAACAATGCTGCAGTGAACCTCCCTGTAGATGTTTAGACAAATGTTCTAGCATCTTTCTGGGACAAACACCTAGAAATGGAATTGCTGAATCAATATATTCATTTTTACATTAAGATTTCAACCTACAAATATTTTCACTACATGAGGGAAATAACTAAGCTCTCTTGCCTATCAAAGTTACTCAGCATATAGCCTGTACTTTATAGGAAATGTTAAGAAGGAGCAAGCCATCCAGAATTGGAGACAGGAGAGTGTTCTGAAACTTTTAGCCAAAATTTGAACTTATTATTTGATCTTCAGTGTGTTTTATGTTCCTTCCTCAGGCTTTGTTATTTTGCTTTTGAAGTAGTTAAAATATGTTTATGTCTCCCCTTTAAATACAGAAATCTGATTATACAAACAATTTCATTTAAATAGTTTACAGAAAATCGGCCGTTTGCGGTGACTCATGCCTGTAATCCCAGCACTTTGGGAGGCCAGGGCGGGCGGATCACGAGGTCAGGAGATCGAGACCATCCTAGCCAACATAGTGAAACCCTGTCTCTACTAAAAATACAAGAATTAGCTGGGCATGGTGGCATGCGCCTGTAATCCCAGCTACTTGGGAAGCTGAGGCATGAGAATCACTTGAACCCAGCAGGTGGAGGTTGCAGTGAGTTGAGATCGTGCCATTGCACTTCAGCCTGGGTGACAGAGCAAGACTCTGTTTCAAACATAAAATAAGAGTTTACAGAAAATCCTTGTATATAACTCAAGTGGCTAGAATATAAGAAATAAGTTTAGAACAGAATTTAGAATATGAAATGACCATAAAGACTTATCTAGTTCAGTATTGATTTATAGATGTGACAAATCAAGGCACAGAGAACTTAAATTATTTACTTGGATTCTTCTGATTGCTAGCAGAATCTGTTGAAACATACATACTCAAAGTCCCTTTGAAGAGAACAGCTTTGTTTGTAATTCACTAGAATCTTTGCAACAGACATTTAATACTGCACAGTGACTTTTTTTGCTTACCTCTTGCTATTTGACCTCAGTAGCTCACAAAAGTTCCATGCCTGTTGTTCAAAGCAAGTGTGAAAAAAGTCTCTTTTATTACCTGCTTTTGTGGTGAGAACTGCAGCAGCTCACTTACCCCATGTGACTTGGACTGGTAGTTAAGTGAAAAGTTGGTTAAAGGCCTTTTCTTGGAGGTTTGGTCCATGGATTGGAGTGCTATATTATCTTTTGTGCATACACTTCACCCGTAATTTCCAGGTGGATTTCTTTGAAATGGCTGGAGAACTTAGACTTTGTAGAGCATCCGAGAGTGCCAAAACCTCTTGGATTTTTGTAGAGTTCACTCCCAACCTTTTCTGATTTTAATGCTCATACCTAGTTAGCAGTATTTTTTTTCTAGAAGAAACTCTTCATTTAAAAAAATTTCCCAAAGCTTTCAACTTAGATTTATAATATCTATTCTAGAATGTCAAAGTCATTGTAATAACAGTTCAACAACCAGACCTTCAGAAGTTTTTATACTATTTAATTATATATCATAATTAACTGTAACAAGCGTAACTAGCACAGACAGATTCCAGAATGAACTTGGCTGACCCATGATGTGTAGCAGCTCCGTCTACAAGCTCTGAGCATTAGGCAAACCATAGGCTGATGGGTATATATTGGAGGGATAAAAGTTGGTAAACTTTCTGATGAGTCAGCTCAGTGGAAGTTGCTTAAGAGAGCTGCTACTGTATCCTTAAGGGGACACTGGCAAATTTTAGGACAATTATCTTCAGGGAACCTAAAGGGAAAATAAATGTGTGTGTGTGTGTGTGTGTGTGTGTGTGTGTGTCAAGCCTTATTGAAGAGTAGCGATAGACTCTTTCTTACGGCACATAATCAAGTTGCCCTATTTGGGGAAACTCAAATGCAAAAATCCTCTTGAATTTTTCTGGGTAGCTTACTCTACTCTTTCCTAATAGTACCACTACACTATATAGCACTGTAATATTTTTTGCTGTAAAAGTTTGTTTATAAACTGGCATTTTTTTTTTTTTTTTTTTTGAGACGGAGTCCTTTGCTCTGTCACCCCAGGCTGGAGTGCAGTGGCGCGATCTCGGCTCACTACAAGCTCCGCCTCGGGTTTACGCCATTCTCCTGCCTCAGCCTCCCGAGTAGCTGGGACTGACAGGCGCGCCCGGCACTCGCCGCTAGTTTTTTTGTTAGCCAGGATGGTCTCGATCTCCTGACCTTGTGATCCGCCCATCTCGGCCTCCCAAAGTGCTGGGATTACAGGCGTGAGCCACCGCGCCCGGCCTATAAACTGGCATTTATAAGTATACTTTTGAGCTGATTTAAGAATCAAGTCTTTTTCCTAGGGGAATGCTTCTTTGTAATTATCTGTAACTAGCAAAATTTGTTTTAACACATATTTTTCTAAAAATATGATACGTAAACTCTGTTGTAGTTGTACAATTCAAGGTTTTTGGTTGAACAGTTATTACATGATATAAAATCATGTGTAACAGTTTAATATTTAAATTTATTACACTGTAACCTAAAAGTCGTTTTAGAACTTTTTATGTGGCTTGAACAGGAATTTTCTTACCCAAGGCTTTGTATGTGTGGTTTATTGCCTCCTTCATTATTAGCATGGAGACCATGGGTTTTCTGTTATTGTTGTTTCATTTAAACAGTTCATGAATATATTAAGCACCTGAAAGAAACTATGAGATGCTGTTAATCTGAAGAGGAGTTAAAAACCTGGTCCTTGCCCTTATCTACATGCCGCGCATGTGGAACTTATTATAGTTCCCTAGATGTAGCAGGTGCTCAGGCAACATTTTTGTAGTAGTAAAAAAGAAATAAAAAAGAAATGTCAAAGTCTAACTTGCTCTAGAGCAAATTCCCCTAGTAAACATTGTTTTTCAAGCTTCTTTTTTTGCCTTGCATCCTACTTTCTTAGGCCAGAGGAATTCATCCACATTCCACCTTAGCTGTTTTCTTGTGTCAAACAAAAATCTTATTTGGAAATAGCATGTTATGGCACCTGTGTCGGGGCATGCCATACTGTACTGCATTGAATGAGGAGAAAGATGCGGAGGCCGTGTAGGGAGGATTGTGATCCTAACGAGAGTGGGATGAGGGATAACAACAGACTGCGTTCAGTATTTCTTTTGTTGTTGTTGTTGAGACGGAGTCTCGCTCTGTCACCCAGGCTGGAGTGCAGTGGCGTGATCTCGGCTCACTGCAAGCTCCGCCTCCTGGGTTCACGCCATTCTCCTGCCTCAGCCTCCCGAGTAGCTGGGACTACAGGCGCCTGCCACCACGCCCGGCTAATTTTTTTGTATTTTTAGTAGAGAGAGGGTTTCACCATGTTAGCCAGGATGGTCTCGATCTCCTGATCTCATGATCCGCCTTCCCAAAGTGCTGGGATTACAGGCGTGAGCCACCATGCCCGGCCTGCCATTCAATATTTCTAATTCATTCAGATGGGGAAGAAAATCTCTAGTGGTTATTATTTTTTAAATCTGTACCTGTGTGTCCCTCCGGTGAAGGCCGTTTAAGCCCCATTTTTGGTGAAGTAGTTTTATTATGATTCATTTATGTGAAACTTTTAGTTACTAGAAACACAACAGGTATTTGGTACTCCTGTGATTTTTTTAAAAATGCTTCTTTTTTTCCCCTAGTCTCCTTATATACATTTGACAAAGCCAAACAGTGTATTGGCACAATGACCATCGAGATTGATTTCCTGCAGAAAAAAAGCATTGATTCCAACCCTTATGACACCGACAAGATGGCAGCAGAATTTATTCAGCAATTCAACAACCAGGCCTTCTCAGTGGGACAACAGGTAGTTTTAAATTTTCTTCCATTCCTTTAACTTTATAGGTATTCTAATTTCTGCAGTTGTCCAAAATTCTACCTTTTAAAAAGTGAGAGGAGCTTTGCGTATCAACTGGTAAATCCAAGGTGAGTGATAAAAAGTGAGGGAAATGTATTTACTGAACTTCAAGGAGTCTGTTCAGAAAAATTCTAAAGTAGCTTTTAGATTATAATGTCATGTATAATTACAGCAGCTTTTCCCTCAGCAAATTTGGGAACCCTGCAGGCATATATATCTGAAATTTCTTTTTATATCATAGGACATTTGTTTTGCCTCTGGAATGTCTTGTCTCTTTCACTAATATAGTTCTGTAGAAAACATAGCTCTTGGCCAGACATAGTGGCTCACAACTGTAATCCCAACACTTTGGGAGACTGAGGTGGGAGGATCACTTGAGCCCAGGAGCTCAAGACCAGCTTGGGCAACATAGTGAGACCCTGTCTCTACAAAAATTTTTTACAAAAATAGCCGGGTGTAGTGGTCTCAGCTACTCAAGAGGCTGAGGTGGGAGGATTGCTTGAGTCTGGGAGGTTGAGGCTGCAGTGAGCCATGATTGTGCGATGGCACTCCAGCCTAGGTGACAGATCGAGACCTTGTCTCAAAAAAAAAAAAAGTTCTTATTTTGGTTATGGGCTTATTTGAGAATCTTAAGAAAATTGAATTCCTGCTAGGTAGGAAAAGGATATAGTGCATTATTTTAAAAAGAGTACTAGAATTGGAATGAACCTCAAGAGATTACCTTATCTAACTCCACATTTACAAATGAGGAATTTTATTTTTTTATTTTTTAAAATTTTATTTATTTATTCATTTATTTTTTGAGATAGTGTGTTACCCTGTCACCCAGGCTGGAGTGCAGTGGCGCCATCTCAGCTCACTGCAACCTCTGTTTCCTGGTTCAAGTGATTTTCCTGCCTCTGCCTCATGAGTAGCTGGGATAACAGGTGTGCGCCACCACGCCCAGCAAATATATGTATTTTTTGAGACAGAGTTTTGCTCTTGGTGCCCAGGCTGGAGTGCAATGGCGCGATCTCGGCTCACTGCAAGCTCTGCCACCTGGGTTTAAGTGATTCTCCTGTCTCAGCCTCCCGAGTAGCTGGGATTACAGGCATGCACCACCACACCTGGCTAATTTTGTTCTTTTAGTAGAGATGGGGTTTCATCATGTTAGTCAGGCTGGTCTCAAACTCCTGACCTCAGGTGATCCACCCGCTTTGACCTCCCAAAGTGCTGGGATTACAGGCATAAGCCACCATGCCTGGCCTTTTTTTTTTTTTTTTTTTTTTTGTATTTTTAGTAGAGATAGAGTTTTGCCATGTTGGCCAGGCTGGTTTCAAACTCCTGACCTCAAGTGATCCTCCCACCTTGGCCTCCCAAAGTGCTGGGATTACAGATGTGAGCCACCACACCTGGCCAAATGAGGAATTTAAGATCTAAAGAAGGTAAATGGTATGCCCATGGCTACACAGCTAAGGAACATAGTTGAGATAAGAATTAATAAACACATATTTGATAGTACCTAGTACTAGCCACTGTTTTAGACACTGCAGATCGGCAGTGAACAAAATAGATGTAATCCCTACTGTCATAGAACTTACTTTCTAGTTGAGGAAAACAGAAAATAAGACAGGAATACCATGTACAGTTAAGTCTCTGATGATAGTAGACCAGGACACTTCACCAGAGAGCCATTGCAGTACTGTTGTGTATTGGATGACTAAAATTGTGCTCAGATTGCCTAGCTAAACTTGATGGTTTTTACCTTTGTTTTTAGCTTTAGTATCCTAATGGAAAATGTTTAGGAGAATGTTTAATAGGAAATGCTTTGGTATTTATAATAATTTAAAACTCAGTAGCATGTAGAAGTCGGTAAATCCGTGAACGAGAATCTTTCATAATTCAGAGAAGAAGTAAATATCTTACTCCAGATCACTGTCCTTACTGTTTCTTCTCATTTATGGTATCTGGTAGTATAGCAGGATTGACGGACAGCCCAACCTGTAATATTTACCGTTATACCCCAGCACATAGAAGAAGACCAGACTTTTAGAAGGGACTCAGCAAATATTTGGTGAATGAGTAATTGAGCACTGAGAAGCTGTCTCTGCACTTGTAGGGCAAGCATTTTGTACTGGTGATAGGAAAGCATGAATTGTAGAGTCACAGACCCAGGTTTGACTCCTGGTGTTCTCATTTACTGTGACTCTGAGCCTTGTTGCGTAGCCTCTTTGTGTATCTCAGCTTCCTCACTAGTAAAACGGAGTCATAGTTTCTGCTTCCAAGAGTGTTTGTGAATATTATATAACTGCCTGTAGCATTTGAATTAAATACTAAGATACTTTATTCTTTGTTAGAAATAGTAAATGTGGTACTCTTGAATTACTTTAGGTGGCACTCTGACATTTAAATTAGATATTTTTTATCCACATGAAATAAATTTTAAACTTGAGTTTTGTAGTCATTTTGTAAACACTGATCGTAAGTGCTAATTCCGTTTTCTTCATTGGCTATGAGTGTGCTTGAGTAGCAGATTGGAGAGGAGTATATAAGAGAAAACTGGTTTTCTGCATTTGAAAAACATTGGTGATGATCTAAGAAACCATTATATTATGAAGTGATTTTTCTCCCCTTAACTCTTTTCTACATAGCTTGTCTTTAGCTTCAATGAAAAGCTTTTTGGCTTACTGGTGAAGGATATTGAAGCCATGGATCCTAGCATCCTGAAGGGAGAGCCTGCAACAGGGAAAAGGCAGAAGGTAAGTTTTATTTCTGATCATCTTTACTAGATCATCCTATAATGTAATTTGTGCAGATTGATTATAATTTTCCTGTCTGTTGCTTAGTGATTTTTTTCATATTGTGTACCCTTTTGAGATAGTAGGGGGAAAATTGCTTTCATAGCCAGCATTGTTATTAAAATATAACTTAAAATGTACTTATTTGCAGACCGAATAGTAATGTAAAATGTAGACATATATGTACATATAATTTGCATGAATGCAGATATTTATTGTAAATAGTAAGAAATGCATTATTGGAAAGATACAGGCATGGAAATGAGGCATATAAGAATTGTAGAAGAAAGTTATGAGTAAAGTAAAAGTAGCTCAGATGATAGTCTGGAAGGTTTGCTTTGCCCAGAGAGACCTCATTTCCCCCTCACTTTTGGCCTTGCTTTGAGAAGTCCGAAAGTTTACTATTAGACTCCTAATTATTGTCTTTCTATACAGATTGAAGTAGGATTGGTTGTTGGAAACAGTCAAGTTGCATTTGAAAAAGCAGAAAATTCATCGCTTAATCTTATTGGTAAGATTTACAGTTTTTAGAAGATTTGAAATGAAGTGGGCCTGTTTCTATATGTAACTCAACTACAGTGATTTCCAAATGGGGAAAGGAAGGAGGAGCATCTGTCTTGAGAGAGTTTATCACAGAAGCATGGGATATTTCCTGTAGGTCAGGTTTGCTGATGAAAAAGTTTAAAACATTCATCTGGATCAGCTTTGTCCAATAGAAACAGAATGTGAGCCACATGGGTAATTTTTAATTTCCTAGAAATATTACTAAAATAAGAAACAAATTAATTTTTTAACTTTTAATTTTGAGATAATTTTAGGCTTACAGAAAATTTGCAGAAATAGCTTAGAGAATTTCTGTATGCCCTTTACCAGCTTATACCCTGATGTTAATGTCTTATTTGACATATATCAAAAATACAATGGTAAGAAATGAATATGGTTTCATTTCCGCTAACTAAATTACAGATTTTATTGAGATTTCACCAGTTTTTCCATTGTGTCCTTTTTCTGTTCCAAGATCCAATTTAGGATCCCATATTGCATTTAGTTGTTCTGTGTTTTGAGTTTTCTTCAGTCACTGACAGTTCCTCAGACTTTGTCTTTTATGACTTTGAGAACTGGTCAGTTATTTTGTAGAACACCCCTCACTTGGTTTTGTGTTAAATGAGATAGCATCATCATTTCTTTTAGTGATTCAGTGATGAATGTGCAGGTCAAGTCTTCCCAACAGATTCATGGTTCAGTCCTACTCTTGTACTGTAGCCCAACTTTTGTCATATTAAAACAATGCAGCTTGTTCTCTGAGAATAGTAACTCACCAGAATAAAGTGCCATTAACTGGGCAGTAATTCTTATTTTTGGTTGATTTAACTATGTTGATATCTACCCCACTAGAGAGGAGAGGGTTTTCATTGGTTACACACCATCATGTCTAGGGTCACTTAAGAGTCTTCGAGTGTGTGGCCTTTATTTCCTGGTCTGCACATTACCATTCCCCCTTACTGTTTTTTGTTAATATAAAATATTTTATTTATAAAATATGGTTAGGCACTCGAAAACAATTTACACGCTCTAAAGTTTGGTTCTGTTTTCATAGTTTTGTAATTTGCTTTTTTGTAGTTTTGTAATTTGCTTATTTTGTTTCAAACATCTTAAATATACATCTATAACATGATTTTTAATACCTGTATGTCATTTTATGTAGGATGTATTTTCCTATTATTTATCTAGTACATTTATGAAGTGATTTCTTTGTATTTTATTTTTGTGTACCTTTTATTAAGCTATCCCAAGGAAGCTGCATAACTTTGATACAAAATAGGTATTTCTAAATAATCCGTGGGAAAAAATTGTGTAATGGGCATGCAGTAAATTTTGCCCACAAGAGGGCAGTAGAGTGTAAGAAAAATATTTTTGATCACTTTCCAAAGGAAATATTAAGACCTCAAATCTCTAACCATAGAATTATCATCTAGTACAAACTTTTTAAAAGTGTTACTTTATTTTTAATTGACAAATAATAATTGTATATATTTATAGGGTACAATTTAATGTTTTAATACATGTATACATTGTAGAATGATCAAATCAGGCTAATTAACATATCACCTCAAATATTTAGCATTTCTTAGGATAAACTTTAATGTGACATTTTCTTCCCTGGTTTTATAAAAACTATATTATTACTTTACTTTTTGTTTATAATAGAGCATACTAAGGTACTTAATTTATTCTTTGTTTGAAATAGTAAATGTGGTTCTCTTAAGTTACTTTAGGTGGCACTCTGACATTTAAGTTAGATAATTTTTGTCCTGTGAGAGAATTTTTAAACATGAGTTTTGTAATCACTGAAGTCTTTAGGATGATTTCAGACTTTTGTGTGCAAGTGAAGAGAAAGCAAAGAAGACATCAAACTTGTTTAGTGCATCTCGTTAGGCTGAGGGATTATATGCCCAATTACCTGTATAAGCATAATCTGGATAAATATATGTATTTTAAAATACACTTGAGTTAGGAGACTTCAGCGACTGCAAAATTTCAGTTGCATTTCTGCCAGCTAGTGTTGTCTTCATCAGATATGCACATGGTGTTTCTTCTGATCAACCAAGTTAGTTAGTTTGGTTAGATTGAAGGTTAATAAAACCAAGTTTTGTGGACTGATAGAAATAGACTACAGCATAAGTTTAGCTAGTCATTTTGACAGCGTGTTACCATATATGGAGATCAGACAAAGTAGATAGCATAGCAAAACTTACCCTTCTGTCTGTAAAATCAGCTAAGATTATATTGTTCATTTTTGTATATGTAATGGTAGCTTTTCTTTACTCATTTAGGATGTTCAGGGAGTTCTGTCTTTTTAAACTTAGTGATAAAGTCCTTGTTTCACATTATATAATATTCGTTTGACATAGGCAAAGCTAAAACCAAGGAAAATCGCCAATCAATTATCAATCCTGACTGGAACTTTGAAAAGATGGGAATAGGAGGTCTAGACAAGGAATTTTCCGATATTTTCCGACGAGCATTTGCTTCCCGAGTATTTCCTCCAGAGATTGTGGAGCAGATGGGTAAGTTTAAAAAGGAAAATGTTATAAAGTCTTGTATTATTAAAAAAATTAATGCAATGAAGAATCTCTTTTCAATAGTTTTGAAATTATTTTTCAGACCCATTAAAGTATTTTTGTCTTTTTCTTTAAAAATGAACAGATAAATTTTCTGAAAAACTTTTGTAATACTGAAACTTCTAAAATTACATTTTAATTTTATGGGGGAAATCATTGAAGTAAGACTTGTGGTGGCTCCATTTTGTTATTTATTTATTGAAGAATGCTTTTCTATGGGGCATATTTAGAAATTTCTCCTGACAGTAGTAATACTGGTAGTGACTCCATTTTGTTTATTTATTTCTGTAAGAATGTTTTTCTATAGGGCATGTTTAGAAAGTTCACCTGATTCTAAAGATCACTATAGGTCAGATTTACCCTGCTGAATAATAATGATCTATTAGACTGTGTGCATTGTTCTAACATTAGCTGGCGTTCCTTTTTATTGTGCTGTCGCATTACCCACTTAGTACATCTTCATACCTAATAAATGGATGCCTGGCATGTTTTTAAATTAAATAAGTTTGATCCAAAAAGACAAATGCAGGTTATACATTGGAGTTTCTATATTGCATACAAAGAAGTGCACTGTTCATTTATCACTTTCTTCTTGAAGATTGATTTAATTTATCTGTGTGAAGTGACTCTATTTGCCCAGTGGAAATGCTGTCATGAGTGTTTTCATATCCATATCATTTGTTGGATTGGAATGTGAGCAACAGAATATCTGAGAAAGGAATGTATAACATACCAGCTTCTGGCAGACTATTAGTGTAAAAATAGCATCCAAAAAAAAAAAAGTGGAATATGAATATATTACTCCCCTCATCCCCGTCATTCTTTATCTTTAAATTGCTACTGGAAGATAAAAGTGCATTTATTATGGTGGGGATAAGAACTGCTTTCTAGGCACTAAGTGCTTGGATTGTATTAGCCTTCTATTGTTGGTAGCCTTTCTGCCTGGTCAGTCACTCTGATAAATTACAGGCACGGCACACACCTGTTCACTGGGTAAAGGTCGAGTTTGGAATTGGATTAAGAGAAAATGACAGAGACCCTCATCACCTGAGTTTTATACACCTTGAAATGGCAATAGCATACTTTTTATCTCAAAGATACAAAGGCCACGTCCATTAAAAGCAGAATTTTAATTGGGAAAATATTTTAAAATGTGGTAGTTCACTATCTTGTTAATTTGTGTTTTTTCATCAAGACATGAAAATATTGTTAAGTGTATTTTGGGTAAAAGCAGGGATAAAGAGATGATTCCAAATGTTCTAAGTTATTCTTGTAGAATGTTTTTACTAGTTTTCAGAACTGAGATCTAGTGCAGAAAGAGTCTAATGATTCTGTTTCTTTGAACATTTATACTGTGTAGCCAACAAGCAGAAAAATAACTGCATTGGTAGTGAGCCATCTCTTTTAATTATAAATGTTTTCTCACCGTTTGGAAGCTAGTGAAGATACAGTTATTCAGATACTAGTTTGCTATTTGTGAATTATCTAGATCCTGCACTTGAAGCTACGTGCAACGTCAGTATGCGTTGGGTAGATAATGCGTAAAGGAATTGGACTCATGTTGGTCAGTTTGTGACCTTGCCAGCTGTTGGAGAGTTTTAAATTAAATCAGAACAGATTTGGAATTTATTAGTGAATTTCCTCTGTTTCTGATATCCGTATTGAAATGAATTGAATTACAGTAGTGTGCTTTTTGTTGTTTTTGATGTGCTTTTTGACTAAGCACTATGGATTTGAATTTTGTGAGTGCCGCTGTCCAGAACCTTTTTTATGGATTTATTTTTCTAATATTTTTACAGTAATCAGACAAAAAATGAGTTCTATCCTTTTAGAAAAGTAACTTTTTTTCTCTTTATGGCTTTTTGCCATCAGGAAGCATGTGTTATCAATTTCATTGAAAAGACAAACTAGTATAAAGCTGCCCTGGCTTTTGAGCTGAATTGAAAAACTTATTTTCTTTATTCTGAATAAAGTTTCTGGGTATCTAAAAAAAAAAAGTAAAGCTCCCTCTTTTTTTTTTTTTTAAATGGTTAAATGGCTGAGAAATAATTCTCTTGTAATGCATGTATCATTCCTTGTCTTCCAATAGAGGCTTCTATTTTCCTTTGAATTTTGGGGGAATTATATAGTAAAATCCTTTCTTGCACTCCAATTACAGTGTGGTTATAAGGCTCTCATTAGACTTTGGTAAAGGTACATAAAAAAAATGGTTACATTTTGACAGAATATAAATAAAATTATACAAATTCTTTTTATGCGTATTCTGTGTTTTCTTAACATATCAGATGGGAACAAATTGATTTTTTCCCCTTTTTGTTAACTAAATAGACAGATCTATATGGTTCGGAGATTCAACTGGACACTGAGTATGACTGGTTAAATCAGTTCTAATTTTTAAAAAAGATTAGGAAAGAATAATTTATGTAGGTTATGGGGCTTTTTTGTTTCAAGCAGAAAACTTTACTTTTGGCTTAAGACCAAATTACTGTCTTTCCATGGAGTCTAAAGTTATGTCTACTTTGTAAACAGGAATCTTAACTAATGGATTTTTTGACTATATATCAATTTTCAAATTTACAAAGTGATAAATTTAGAATATTCTCTTCTGTCATTATGTTCATCAGACTGATAATTATGCTTCTAGATAACAGAGTTCTTTCTTTTTGTTTATAAAACTTCATGTTGCCTTTTCAAAATTGAAAATATAGTTTAGCTACGAGCAGAATGTTGCTGATGAGATACAGGAGGACTAAAGGACTTAACCAGAGGCACACAATTATGCAGTAAAATTAGGGAACTGATGAGGTAATATACATGAAAATAACTGTCATGGAGTTTCCAATCTGTTAGTTTCTTTCTTGAAAGTCTTTCAAATAGATAGTGTATACCTTTCTGCTTTTGTACTTTTGTTATATTTTTGTAGAATTAAAATCAAGGAAACCCTTAAAGTAGAAAGGAAGTCACATAAAGCTCTCTAGACTGAGGGATAAAGGAAAAGGGATTATTTAGGGGAATATCAATTTAGACTTTTGTTTTTGTTACTGTTTTAATCAGAGTAACTGTTGAGTTTCCCCCTTGTCTGAAGTAGTTGAGCTCACCCAAACCCAAGTGGGGCAGCCCTTCCTTGGAAGTATATGAGAGCAACCAGCAAAGAAAACTAAACCTATACCTTGCACTTAGTAAATACCAAATAGGTATTTAGTTAGAATGCCCTCCAACCCCCCAGAAAACCGATTTTTAATTAAGAATTACCTTAAATCCATAACTTTATGGGCTAATAGAAGCCACATTTGAGTCCCAGGGTAGAGATGTGAACATCAAAGCTGGTATCTGGAAGTATGGGTGAATAAATTCAACAGCTGATTGCTGTCTTTCAGCATATTCAGGTGTTAACTGAATAGATACTAAATACTCGTGTTCGGACATTTACCACACTTATTCCCCTGTATGCAGTTTTGTGGACAGTGTTCAGGATAAATAAATGATCGATTACCTCAGTTCTCACTGTAGCTTTTTTGTTAGCAAAGATAGAGTTTCTGCAAAGAAACTTCATTTTTCAGCATCCCTGGCATGGGATTCTCTCTAAATTATAAATGTCAAAGCAAAACAACACATCGTTTTCAGTGAACAGTGGAATGATTGTAAAGAATTAGTCAGCGTCTCTTAATGTAATCCTGGGAATAGGTTCACATCTACCCAAGGAAAGACCTAGAAGGAAAAGGATGTAAAAAGGGAAGACCTCAGTCTCACACTGTCTTTCAGTGGATCTGTGGGGTGTAGATGTTCAGGCCACCTAGTGGGGAGGAAAGCCACTTGTTATGGTCTTGTGCCCCCATTCTTTGAAACTGACACTGTGTTCTTTTTGGTCTCCTTTCCCCAGTGTCTCCCTCTGTAAGCCCATTTTCAATAGTATTTTTAAGGTTTCTTTTGAAATTCAAGAGAAAAGCAACTCTTTTCTGATATCATAAGTGAAATTGCAGTTACTCTATGAAATAGAACTGCTGAGAAGATAAGGAACCTTTCGATCACACAGACATCTTTCACATGCTAAAAACAGTGCAAATAAAACATAGTAGAAGAAAGGGCACTAAGGTTTTGTGCATGCCATATTTGGGAGAGAGGGAGTTCTTGCTAAGATTAACATAAACACTGACACTCTTAAAATGCATTTTCACACCCCCACTCATGAGGAGAGATTGCATTTTAAATGGGGGTTAAGACATCTAGCCGAACTCCAGGGCTCTGTAAAAGGAACCCTAAGGCTAAAGAGCTTATCTGAAATTTGAAAAAAAGAAAAAAAAAAAATGAAGCTTTCTGACATTCATCTTTTTTTCTTGTATTAGTCATAACTTGCTTTTCAGCTATATTTTAGGTTTTGAATGCCAACCTGACATCTGTTCAAGTCTGCCTGTAATTTATTAGCAGAGGAAAAGACAGCAGTTGCTCACTAGTTAGAGATGCAAAATTTCTCCCTTCCTGTTCTCCACTAAGTATTTATAGATGATACCTGGATATGAGGAATGTAATAATTTACTAAAAACTTCAGGTCAGGAAATTTATAAAGATTTTTTTTTTAATTGGAAGAATAAAATGGCTTAAGACCATGTAATTTCCGAAATCTCTAGAGCAGGATTTAGAGACAAAGCATAGACCCTAAAAAATACTTTAGCTAACTTTCTATAAATTGTAGTTTTTTTAACCTTGAATTAATTTTTCCATTGGTTTTCAATTTTTTAGTTAAATGTATATTTGAACAGTAGTTGTGCTTATATCTGAAAGTCAAACTATATGTAAATTCACCTGGCATTTGCATTTATAGGCAGACTTTCAGAAACAAATCTTTTGGAGAGGCAGTGCTGTCTACAGAGTCGCCAAGTGGATTAGATTTCCTGGCAACTACAGTTGAGTTACTTACAGATCAACAGTTGGGTCACTGCAAAGTTGAG